AACTCCATCTCCAGGCGATAGAGCTGCTCGGCCGTGAAGGAGGTGCGGGTCCGCTTGGGACGGTCCAGATCAAGCCCCTTAGGCAGAATAATCTCTCTGATTGAACCTTTGGCATCTGGCAAAGAAAGGCGCAGTCAGCTTTACACCCAGGCAACCCTCCTATCTTTTTTTTTTTTTTTTTTTTTTTTTTTTTTGGGGGGGGGGGGCGCCACCAGCGTCTTCAAGACCGAGACCCGAGTCAGGATGGAGCAGGGTCCCTGAGACTGCGGCACTGCACCTGGCCACTACACCCAAGGAAGGGGAAAAAAAAAAAACAAAACAACAGAGAAGGAAGGAAGGGGCAGTGGGGGCCCAGGGCTCTGGAAATAATCCCCTCAGCCCATTTAAAAATTGGCTTGAATATGTTGCACTGACAGTACGACACTGCGGCATCACCCACGGCCCCTCTGGGAGGCTGGGGAGAGATCCTCCAGGCCGGGCTTTGTGCCTGGAGTGCAGGGCTACTCTTTGTTCCCCCCGGGCTCCTGAGTACGGCTTGCTGGAAGCCGCCGCACACATCCAGCTGCCCCCCAAAATATAAAACCTACTTTTTTTTTTTTTCGAACAAGTTTCCCATGCGAAAAAAAGCAGGCGGGAGCTTTCAGGGCATAGGCAGCGCTGCCCCCGAGCTGGCTGACTGCCCACCGTGAATCTGGGGACACCTCCAACTCACCCAGCATCCCGGGGAAAGCATCGCCGCCGCCGCCGCTGCTTTGGGGTTTTGGCAAACAGGAGAAGAAGGGGGGGGGGGGGAACCAAGGCCCCAGACAGCCTGCAGAAACCTCACTTTTCTGGTAGCCCCGACCGAAAGAAAGCGGGACAAATCTTATTAACACCACTGTCGAGCTAGAGCCAGATTCATGTTACATTAAAGCCTTCCCAACTTTGCTTTCCGTCATTTTACCTCTTCGGTACGTTTTAAATCAGAGACAACCACATCATTTTAATCTGACCTCTCTCTGGGTCAATCGGTCGCGCAAGGATTAATTATTGTTTACAAGGCCTGCTTCGCACTAATTTTGTTCCGATTCTGTTCTTTCCCTCCTCCCCAAAAAGCACCTTAATAAAACTGAAATTACTTCAGGTAATTTTTTTTTTTTTTTTTGAGGGGGTAGGAATAGAATGATTTAATTAGTTTAGCTTGGGGGGGAGACGAGGGTTAAGGAAAATAAACGTATAACTATTAAAAAAAAATTAAAAGCCCATCGTCATCCCTCCGTTGATTTTAAGGCTGACGGTTATTTAAAAATAGCCCTTTCTGCTGGGATGCCGGGCGCGGGGAGAGGGGGGACAGCGGGAACGCCCGCCCTCCGCGGAGGACCTTCCTGCCC